CCTGCCTCCCTTCCATCCCCTGGCCTGGGCCAGGCCTCTGACAGCCTGTTTACTGCCCTCTTCCAGAGCGTTAATTAAGATGTTAAGCAAGATCTGATCTGCCTGAGCTGCTGGCTAGACACCTTCCTCCCCTCCTTGCTCTGGCCTTCAGCACCCCCCCCCTCGCTGCGTGGCGGGGAGGAGGGGGCAGGCGGCCCTCAGATCCAATTAGAAGGCAAGTTTGAAGGTGTATTTCCCTAGACAGGGTGTTAATGGTCTAATAGACGGGAGAGATCTGTCTCCTGTGTCCCCGCGGCTATTAAGGCCCTAACTCAATCAAGGGGATTGATTGCATTTGTCTGGCTTGATTAAGTGCTATCTCCATGCCAAACAAAAGTTGGCTCCGCTTTCAAATAAATGGCTTGTGGATTGGCTAGAAATTCCCAGGGTGGATTCCCAGGCCCCTGGCTGAGGGTTGGTCTGCACTTCAAAGGCTCCCGCAGTCGGGGGTGTGAAAAATCCACCCCCAGCGCTGTCTCCCTCCCAGCATGGGAGCTGTCTGACCCCCCCCCCCCCATTGGAAACAGCCCTGTCGAGAGAGGATGGGTCTGGGGCCTGACTCCGGAGGTGGCATTCCTACCCCCCTTCCGGGGCTGCAGCTTCGTCCCCTCCCGGGTTACACGGGCGCAGCGGGGGCGCAAGGTGCGGGTCGGCAGCTGCCGCGCTCCCTTCCAAGCCGAGCCTGACGCTCGGAGCTGACTTGGCTGGGGAAGGCCCCTGGCCCCCGGCCCGAGGCCCCAAATCAGGCTGTGGGACAGGAGCTGGGAGCAGCATGAAAAACGAGGGCCCAGCGTGAGCAGAGCCCGGCCGGGCGAATCGTTCCTGTAGAATAAACACTGGGCCAGGGAGGAAACTCCTCCGTGAACCTTCCCCGCCTCCCCAGCAAACACTGGAGCCCTCCCGGCCACTCTCGTCCAAGGCAAGAGATCCCCGTGTCAATACATCGAAGCCCTCCCCTCCCCGCTGCCGCTGAAGCAGCAAGAAGCAATGTCACCTTGACACGCAGTTGCCCCTCCTCTGGCCCGGGAGGTAGCCTGCCGGCCCTCGGCCCTGCGCGCTTGGCGGCTGCCTCTTGGTTTGGCTGAGCCTGGCCGGGGCGGAAGAACATCTGTAAAGGCTGTTTGCAAAATCGGTTCCACGTGCCGCTGCCCGGCCGGGTCTCCGGTGCTCCCAGGAGAGCCTCCCCCTGCGCTGCCTGACTCTGGCACAGCAGCGAGGCGAAGGGTTAACCGCCCGAGACCAGCCTCTGGGATCTTCCCTGCTTGGCCAGGCGCACTGATGTGTCCGCGGCGTGGTGGTCCCTGGCATTGCCACGCCTGCCACCCCGATGTCGTCGGAACCCCTCCGTGCAGCTGTGGGGCAGCCCACGTGTCCCCCCGGCCCCCCGGCTGTGCTGCTGGGGGCAGTGCTCAGTGAATGGGTCTGTCTCCCCGGAGTGGCGTGCTCAGCTGGCGCGTCGCAGGGCATCTCTGTGGGTGCTCGCTCCCTGCCTGCCGGCGGGATCCAGCAGAGTCCAAAGGAGACTTGGCCCCGGCAGCTGATTCACGGGGAGCAGCCGACGGCATCGGCTGGGGGGGTTGGGCACGCGGCCGGGGCGGGCCGGGGGGCCGACGGGGCTGGGCCTCACCGCTGGTGCTGGGTCGGAGCAGGGTTCTGGACTGGATCAGGGCCCGTGCCCCAGAGAGCCCCGCAGCTCTGCTCTTGGGGGGAGGGCTGGAGGCTGAGCACGACCCCAGGGAATTCCCGATAATACAGCAGGGCTCCAGGTGAAATTGACCCTCTGCCGGTGAAAATAAACGTCCATCTTTCCCCTGGAGGCCAAGGGGGGGCGGGTCTCGGGTCGGAGCAGGGTTCTGGACTGGATCAGGGCCCGTGCCCCAGAGAGCCCCGCAGCTCTGCTCTTGGGGGGAGGGCTGGAGGCTGAGCACGACCCCAGGGAATTCCCGATAATACAGCAGGGCTCCAGGTGAAATTGACCCTCTGCCGGTGAAAATAAACGTCCATCTTTCCCCTGGAGGCCAAGGGGGGGCGGGTCTCAACTCAGGTGAGTGACCTGGGGCTAAAAGACGGTGGCTCCGGCCAGCAGCTGCC